GCAAATGTTCTTTAGGTGTGAAAGGCATTGGAGTGCAGCAGGATAGGACTCATCCCGCTGCACTCATGAGCTATGGGACTCATCTGGACTCCAGAAGCAACTGGGGCATGGGCAGGACATACTGGCCCACATGGTGGGTCATGATTTGAGCCGAGGAAGGTAACAAGGGGCTGGAAGTGGAAGGGTGAGGGGATGTGGGTTTTTTTTCTTTGTTTTAGACTGGAGATATTAGAGGTATTTAAATGCAGGTGGAAGGAAGGAGACTAGAAAGTGAGAAGATAAAAGAGATAGGGGGAAGGAGGGTCTCTAGGAAGCGGGGAGGGGGTGGGACTCAAAGCCTGAGTAGAACAGAGCCGGGGTGGGAGATCTCTCTTCCAGCGGGCAGTCGGCAGTGGACGGCAATAGGTCGCTGTGCAATCAGTGACCACAGGCACCACAGATGGAGGGGAGAGTGCTCGGGTCTGGGGGCATCTTCTAGTTTCCCAACGGAACAGGAGGCCAGGTGACAGGGTCAAATACCCCAGGTGCCTCCCCCCAAAGGCCACGTCATTACTTGGGCACTCATTACAAAGGTTTTCATTACCATGAGGTCAATATCATAACCCAGGCAAGGGGCTCCATCTCTCGGGGCAGACTCCCATCGCCCAAATTCAAAAACCTGATGTATAAGCCCAGGGATGCACATCCAAGTACAAAGAAAAACTGATGTGCCTAACCAGCAAGTTCACTCCAAGCAGAAGACCTACAGGGGAACTAGATCACAATCAGAAAGATGTTAATCACATCAACTGCATGTTTAATGACATCAGTCTGTCCCCAGGCTGACTCTGGGCCCCTAGGAGTGGTGCCTTTGCCAAAGTCTGCCTACTCTTTCTATGCCTCTGGGACTGATCGATCCTCTTTGATGAGCACATTTTTTTTCTTTAGATATGCTAAGCAAATTCAATCAGGTTGAGGATTATCTCCTTTGCTATGGAGCCACTCTATCCCTTCAGTAAAGTGCCTTTTTTGTGTCTAAGCTCATCTGTTCTGGGTGTCATCACCGCCTCCAACAGTGACAACTCCCTTTCACAAAGAATTGGGCAGGCGAAGTTGCAATAAACACTTAGCACGCACTAGGAGGCGTTGACTATAAGCCCCATGAGGGCAGAGGGCCTGCACCTACCTGTTCGATGCTGTAGTGCAGGGGAGTGCAAATTTTTCCTACAAAGGGCCAGACAGCAAATGTTCTAGGTTTTGTAGCCAGAAGATCTCCATGGAAAGGACTTAATCCTGTTATTGCAGCACCAAAGCAGCCAGACTCAATGTAAACAAATAGGTGTGGCAGTGTCCTCACCCACCTTGATCAACAAAAGCAGGCTTCAGCCTGTAGGCTGTACTCAGGCCACCTCTCCAGGCCCCTTCCCCCATCCTCAGTGCCAGCACCTAGCACAGCACATATAGAGTGCCCAGTAAATATTTATAGAAAATAAATGGCTTGGGCGGGGCGGGGGGGTGGAGGTGGGGACTGCTCCTGACCGGCTCAGTCAGTCAAGCATGTGACTCTTGACCTTGAGGCTGTGGGTTCGAACTCCACTTTGGGTGTAAAGATTACTGAAAAGTAAAATCTAAAAAGAAAGAAAGAAATGGCTGAGAGTTGTTTATCATGACATCCTTGTTTCTATAAAACTTCCTCCCATACTGGTATGGGAAATGAGAGACTGAAGCCATCTAAGGAGGGAGCTAGCATGATTCTCAGAGCTTTCTAAGCATTTACATAAATTCACTAATGGATCATTCTGTGACAAAAGCCCTTCAGTCCAGGTGATCAGACTTTAAAAAAAAAAAAAGGCCTGAATATCCTCCTTAATTGGGTAGGTGCTTAGGGGATCATGCCCTGTTTTGGAGCCTAAGGCCAGGCCTACAGACTCACATGCTCTAAGCCTTAGATGCCAGTGTCTTGAGGGCAGGTGCCATGTCTCTCTTTCTCCTGCTTCCGGCCAGTACCTCACTCAGAACACCACGCCACACAGTTCCCACTTGTCTCTGAGGTCATCCAAGAGTCACAGTTTTCCTCTCTATGCTTTAACTATGTTTCCAAATTTTCTACAGCCGTAACATTCAGAAACAACAAAGTCAGAATCAATGTTAGACCAAAACCAAAGAGTTATTAATAAAATAACCAAAGCAAGTCATCAGCTTTAGAATATACCTTTCCTCTGTCCTGGATAGAAACCTCTTCCTGGTTCTAAACAGGAATCAGGACTTGTGACAAAGAAAAGAGGCAAGAGCAATTCAGTTCTGACTGTACTAAAGGCTGCTGTTTGTCCTCTGACTTCTAGGAAAAGATCATTATCCTCTTCGTGGAGCAAATAATTAAGGCTATTTACAAATCCTTCATGTGGGCTCTTGATATGCTGAGGACATTCTCAGCACCCAGGCCTCCGCTGAGGGACAGAAGGGTTTCTGAGTCCACACCAGCCTTGACTTTCAGAAAAGTTGCTCCAGAACCCCTCCAGCTCATTTAAGAACAATAGGGAGTGAAGAAAATGTGGCTGCCTCCTAAAAAGCAATTTTTCAAAAACTGACTTCAAAGAATCTAAAATAATGGCAATCTTAACCAAGACTACCTCCTTATTTGGGCAGAAAGATACATTGCTACCTCCATAACTTAAATTGGTTTAAACATCTTATGTTTATTTGTCAAGTATCCAATGATACTGATTGGCTGTCAAACTGGAGGTTTTCAACCCTGGCTGAGGCAGGAACCTTAGCATTACCACACAGTGCTTTCCAAATACAGAGACTCCAGGGTCTTCCCCCAGACTCAGGGCTCTGAAGCTGGCAGGGACCAGGATGTGTTCATTCACCACGCTGGAGGCTAGGACAGTGCCTGATGTGAATACATTCAATAAATATTTGCTGAATACAGTGTGTATCATGACTCCCTCTGGGTAAGTTACAAGGAACCAGAGTCTCGAGTTTTAGGAAAATCTACTTTTTACTGCTTTATTCTTTTGTACTGGTTGAATTTTTAACATGGTTGTTTTTTTTTTTTTTTGAGGGTTCATTTAAAAAATAAATATTATATATAACTAAAATAGCTAAAATAATTGAAATCCTAAGCCAAAATAATTACACCGCTTTACTTAAATATAGGTAATTACAAAAGCCAGCTTGGTAAGATAAATTGTGTCTGTTGTCTTAGTAATATGCTAAGTGATACTGTGAAAGTGAAAATAATACTTGGAAATATTTATTTAGCATTTACAAAGCGCCTGGCAATATTCGAAGTGTTTTATAAACATATTAACACACTCTTCTTTCAACATCTCTAAATGGGGAAGGAATGACAGCATCTCACCTTTCTGAGGAGGACATGAGCGCAGGGAGAAACTGAGGCAGCATGCCCAGGGACATTCAGCTGTAAGGTAATGGATGGAGCCGTCTGACCCAGGAACCCAGGTGGATAGTCACTATACCACAACGTCTCAACTAATAGGTAGATTTGGAAACATGGCCTATCCTAAGGCCCTCAACTGATTTAATAAATACATTGTCATAAGAAATTTAAACAAATATTTGTTGATTGAATAAAGTCAAGTTATCCCAGGAAAGCTCAACTTGACTCTTAAAAGTGAATGGGGAAGGGGGGAGGGAGGGCACCCTCAGGACAGCCAGGCAGGGCCAAGGACAGGACAGGTGCCCCCCCCCCCGGTTTTGTCCAGTCTGCTTGTGATTTCTGTCCCAGTGAACTGACATCAGCTCATCTCAATTACATGCATGAGGAGGGCTTTTTGTTTATCCCATAAGATAGCGCCTAGGACGACAGCTGGTGCTTAGTAGGTGCTCAATAGAAACTTGACTGTATGAATGGCACAAATGCTCTACCCACGCCCCGCTGCAGTAAGAATCTCAGCTATCCATGTGCCAGACCATTCCTCTGGGCCGGCCCCTGGGCCATGAACTTGATATGAGCTCTTTGAGGGTGGACCCATCACCATCCCCCATTTCCCTTAGGGTGACTTTACAGAGGGCACCCACCAAGGCTCTTGCACATCTTCATAGGAACAAATCACTTCAGTTACCGGCTGAGAGAGGCAGCCACCCTCATAGCCATCAGAACATGATTCAACTGATAGAAACACCATAAAAAGCCCTTGAAGACAGGCCATGCTGAGATCAGACAGGGTGAGTGGCTGTCCCTTGCTCTGTTGGCCCCTTTCACAATTAAAATATCCGTGTTTTATTTGTCCACCCATTAAACAGCCCACTCTGGATTTCTACTCAGGTCGTGATCTCAGGCTCATGAGATCAAGGCCTGCATGGGGCTCTGCACTGTGTGGGGAGTCTGCTGGAGATGCTCCCTCTCCCTCTGCCCCTTTCCTCACTCTTTCTCTTAATAATAAATAAATAAATAAATAAATAAATAAATAAATAAATAAGATCAAAACAAAATGACAAACCCTTTTTATTGCAAAGGGTCTGGAACTGCAGGACAAAGAATACTACTTCCTCCTCCAAAAACAGCTTTCAAGGGACACCTGGGTAGCTCAGTGGGTGAGCATCTGCCTGCCTTTGGCTCAGGGCATGATCCAGGGGTCCTAGGATCCAGTCCTGCTAGGGCTCCCCGCAGGGAGCCTGCTTCTCCCTCTGCCTATGTCTCTGCGTCTCTCATGAATAAATAAATAAAATCTTTAGAAAAAAAATCAGCTTTTGAGGGACATGCTCCGGACACACGCTACCGATGAGAGGGACACGCACGGCGAGGCATTTGCGTGGCTTCTCTTTGGCTTTTCTGGGGCACCAGGTGGGAGCACCTGCCGACTGGACCACAGCCCTCGAGCTGAGAGTCTGACCTGCAGTGGGGACTGGAACCCCGCAGAGGCGGGACCCTCCGGATCCCCCCCAACCGCTGCAGAGGCGCGGCCCGACCTGGCACCTGGTTGCCCGCTGCACCTGCCGGCAGGGCGCCCCTGGCTCACCCCCTGCGCCCCCCGGGGGGCCCTGCCCACACGCACCTTGGATGGTCCTCTTGAAGAAGGCCTTGCAAGCCTCGCAGGAGGCCACGCCGTAGTGGTAGCCGGAGGCGATGTCCCCGCATACGAGGCACAGGCGCTTGGGGATGGCGTTGAGCATGTACTCGCACTTGATGGCCGAGTCCTCCATGAGGCCGCCGGCACAGTCCTCGTAGCCCTTGCGACAGGGGGTCCCGCCCAGCCCGGCGCCCGCGAACATGGGCGGCGAGTCCAGCCCGTTGGCGTGGGCGCCCAGGGCCAGGCCGAAGCCGCCGCTGGCGTCGGACGAGCCGCTGGGGCTGTGGTGGCTGAGGGCGTCGATGCCCGAGGATGGGCTGGACGGCTCGGTCTTGATGAAGGAGCCGCAGCTGGAGCCCAGGTGCCGGTCGTCGGTGGACATTCTGCTCAGCAGCCTGCGGACACAGAGCAGGCAAGTGAGCTCCGGAGGGCGCGGTGGGTGTGACACCCGCCCCAGGAATTAGCTCTGGGCTCCGGGCACCGCGTGGGCGGGGAGGCTGGGAGGGGCTCAAGGCGAAGGCATGGGGAGATAAAATGCTGGCCCCGAAGGTCAATTGGTCAGGACACCGCACAGCCCAGGGCAAGTGTCTGGCATTACCACCCACCCCACCCCCCAGAACGTTGGGAGTCCTCAAAGAAAAAGAAACTTGATGTTTGATCAATAAACTTCAGATCAAACACCCCAGCTCTCTGCAGATTGCTGGCATGAGGGTGACACAGAGCGGTAACCATTCAAAGTCCTTGGCCCACCTTCCTGCACGACGAGAATACGTGATGGCTACAGTTGAGAGGCTGGGTGTGCAGGGCCCTGGACCAGACACCCTCAGTACTGTGACCCGATAACCCATTTCATCCTGCCCCTACTGGGGCTTCTGGTAAGCCCAAGCTTGGAGCTCGCTCCCCCCCCCCACCCCCGTGTGCCACCATCACCAACACTGGGCCTAGAGATGCCAAGCAAGGCACCCGGCCAGGGCAAGAGGCAGGGCTGATGACAAAGGTTGCCCTCTTGGGGTTGGCCTCTGGCCCAGGGCACATTTGGAAAGTGGCTCCAGGCCCCCTCCCTCATGTCCCTTCCTAACCCTTCAGCAGCCTGGCTTCCCAGCCCCACCCGGCCCCAGACACTGTGTCTCCATGAGACATCATGAGGGGGCCTTCCAACCCCAGCTCCGTGTGTCCCCGGCAGCTTCTTCACCCTAAATCTCAAGCTCTGAGTCCCTGCCTCACTCCCAGAGTCAAGGGAGCATTACCAACATGACAGGATCCCTGTAAAGGATCAAATGTTTCCCAAAATGAAAGACCCTCCTCCCAGAACCATGCAGGGTAGGTAAGAAGTCAGGCAAGGTGTGACTCTCCCACAGGGTCCCAGGACAAGGGGAAGAGCCTCTCTCCAAAGGGGCAAGAAAAGCTCACAGCAGAGTGATGAAGGTGGATGTTTAGGGAAACCCAGCTGTGGCTCACACTCAAGACCCCTGGGGCCAGCCAGGACCTGGAGTCAGGAGGCTGCGTCTGGGTCCATCGGCCCCTGACCTGGTCTGGCCATGTGGAGGTAAAGAGGAGCCCAACTCTTAACGCTCAGAGAGCAGAGGAAGGAAAGAGAGAAAGTTCCTGGAGAATGAAAAGGGCTAACCGGTCAGCGCTACAGCCCCATTGGCGGAAAGATGGCTCCGGCTGGGAGGGAAGGTCTTCATGCTGGAGGGTCCACTGGGTAACAGCCACTGTCCGACCTCCAATAATGCTCAGAGGGAGCCCCTGTTTCCTGAGCAGTCTATTGAGGAAAGGACTGGTCACCACTAAGGGAAGGGGCTGCTTTGCCACACCCTCAAAGCACCCCCACACCACCAAATGCAATCTCATAGCGGGGAGGGGCCTTCGCCATTAACGATTTCATCTTTAGCACGCCTCCCGAGGGGTTGTCCCATCCATCTACAGTTGAACACGTCCAGAGACAGGGAACTCACTGCCCCATAGGCAGTTCTAATCAGAACCAGGGAGCTGCAGATACAAAGATAAAAGATACATATAAGGCTCCTACTCTCAAGTTTATCTACTGGAATGTAGTGTTTGAAGATAGAGGCTCTCCATCTCTTCTGTTCCAAACCAAATGTATCTGAGTCCCTGAGACGCCTCTCCTACAAGCCCCATGTTTCCCTTACATGGGCAGAGCGTTCCCCGGTTGAGGGTCTCCTCTGGATCCTTTTACAGCTCTGACTGGTGCCCCGTTATTCTCCTGAGTTCCACACGGCCACCTGCCTCCCCTCCGTCGTCCCCCAGCAGGTCCCTGGCATGACCATAGGAAAAACACCATCAGCCTGGCAGGGCATCATCCAGACAGAAAATCCACCCGAGCAGGCACAAGAGCACTTTTGGGTGACCTCCCCACAGAAAAGAGCCGACCAGGGGCCCTTTTACGTGCAATCCCCTGCTGCTCACTGCTCCAGGCTCTGCAGGTCACAGGAATACCCCAGGCCCTCTGTGACAAGCCCTGCTGGGTAGAGAGCAACCAGACCCCAGCCCTCATCCCCACCTCTCCCCAAACTCAAGAGAATTTGAGATTTCGGGATGCCTGACATAAGCAGGAATTACAGCAACTACAGCAGTCCCCCCAGTTCCTTATCTGCGGTCTCAGTGACCCGCGGGAACATCGGGTCGGTAGCACTACGTCACAATACCTACATCATTCACCTCACCTGGCCTCCTCACACAGGCCTTTTATCATCTCATCTTCAGAGACTCCAGGGCTGAAGGAAGCAAACTTGACCCTGACCTCTGAGTTGCATGGAAATCCAGCCACTAATTTGTCACCTGCATCCCAGCTATGCATGGAGTTGGGGTGGGGATGGAGGCTGTTGAGGGTTTCACTCCTACAGTCATCTCTCCCATGACCATTATTTTGGTGCCCCGCCCACAGTGTCTTTTCTAAGGAGAGTCAACGCCTATTTCAGGCACCTAATATGTGCCAACTGCTGGCCAGAGGACTAGACAGGTCATGATAAGCACAGCCCACCATCTCAAGAAGCTCGATGGCTCTCTGAAAGGGCAGATGCTAAACATACACAAGTGTGCAGAGCACCAGACGGGGCCAGAGGGTACTAGGCTCACCGGGGCTCCCCTGCTGTGCCCCACTGGTCTTCCTACATTCATTCACTCACTCATTCATTCATATTTGCAGACAGAATGAAGAGACCTTGCAAGTGGGGCCCACAAGTCTGCATTTTCAGGTGGGTTTGCTTTAGCAGCCCAGATGTGTGACTCTTGGGGGCATCAAGTTTGAGTACCATGGGGATGATGCAGCCTGAAGCTTGACATGAATCTGGTATGAGAGAAATGAGATAAAGCAGTAAAAGAGAGAGAGGGAAGTTTGTGGGGGGGGGGGGCAGAGAGGAGAGCTGAGACCCCTCAGCTCCCTGCCCCCGCCACTCAGTCCATGAAGCCCGAGGCACACAGTGAAGGCTGAGGGCAGGAAGTCCAGGAAAAGAAAGGAAACTTCCAACAGCAACTGTGCAGGGAGGAGAGAGAAATCGGAGCAGGGTTTACCAGGCTTCTTAGTCCACTCTGCAGGGGAAGCCCCGTCTCCAGCAGCTTTGATCTGGCCCTACTGACATTTGGGGCAGGGGAGTTCTTCACTGTGGGGCCATGCTTTGCACTTGCACTGCAGGTTGTTTCCAAGCATCCATGTCCTCTGCCCGCTAGATGCCCATAGCACCCTGCTCCCTGCCCCAGAGAGAACAACCGAAACCTCCAGACATTGCTGAATGTTCCCTGGGGGATAATCCCCCACAGATGAGAACCACTGACATAGATCTATGAGGAAGGAGGAGGGCCAGGGGACCTGGGAGCACAGGGTTGGGCCAGTGAATGGTGCAGGTCTGAGACAGAGGGGATCAGAGCAGAAGGGCCAGAAGGAAACAGGATTGGGTGGGGGGAGCCAAGAGAAGCATGGTGGCTTCTGGGGGTGCAGGCCCAGGGTAGACCAAAGGAAGGAACAAGAAAGCCAGGGGATTGGAGAGGGGGTCAGGGAAGATGTCAGAGGTATAGCCTGGTCACCAAGGCCCAGGAGGATGCAGCGCAGGGTGGGTGCCCAGATGGCCTGCAGGGAGGGTGCAGTCTCGGGATGGGGGGAGGTGGCTGACACTTCACTCTGGGGAGGAAGGGGTCACATCGAGTCCATCATCTGTGGTTGGCTGGGACCCAGTTCCCAAATGGGTCGATGACTATCGACTTCATGGGAGGGGACAGAGGCCCCATCTAAGCAGGCTTTGAAAGAGCAGTAGTCAGTGGTTGAAGGCCCTGGAGGCATCACTGCCCCTGTGACCCATGGGTAACAGAAGCACAGATAGAGCTGTCCTGGCCTTAATTTCACCACTGTCTGATTAGGCACGGCCCCCCTCCCGCCCCAGCCAGCTCTCTGCCCCTGGCCCTCCAGCACCCAGTGTGAAGCCCTGTGCCCCAGAGTGGCCTGCCCTCCTGGCTGCTTGAGCTCACCAGGCAGGACAGGTGTGTGGGGGTGGTGGGAGACACTCTGCTGGACAACGAAGTGGGTTGAAGATTTTCCTCATACCCAGACCAACAGAATCCTGGAGATTCTGAATGAAACCCCAACTGCTGAGCTATTTTGCTACGGATCTGTAGAGCTGGAGAAATCCCAGTGTGCCGGCAAGAGACAAAGCTGGAATCTCAGAGGTCTGGCCCCCTCGCAATGGCCTGCTGGTGGGCAGGCAGCAGGAGGGAAGCTTCTAGAAAAACAGAAGCTCATAGAGGGAAGGGGTTTGGACTGGCCTGCTTGGCCTTGGGCCGGGCCTGCTCTCCTCTGTGAGATAGAGCCCATCCCCCTACCCACAAGGATCCGGGTCACGTGCAGAGGGCCTGTGCTCCCAAGGCTGTCTTGGCTCTGTGCTGAGACCACACGTGTAAGAGCAAAAACAGCAGCTCTGTCACTTAAGGGTTGAAGCCTGCCCTCTGACATCAGATGATCCCAGCTGTCACTGTCTCTCAGCCTGAGTGCTCATCTGTAAAATGGGCTCAGTCATAGCACCTCCTTCACAGGGTTGTGTTGTGTGAGTGTGAAGTATTGGAGGCAACACGCGTGGCCCAAGCTGGTGCTGTGCAGGTACTCTGGGCCGCGGGCCACTGTTGTGATTCTCCCAGGAAACCCCTTCCAGAAAACCCAGCACCTGGCCACCAGCAAAGCTCTTCCCCCAACCAAGTCCCCAGATAGAGATTCCATAAGGAACTTGCCATTTGCCAGGACTGGAGAGTGGTTTGTTAGGCAAATTAAGAGAATAAATAAGCCTGAAACGGGAATCCACTATACAGAAGAAAAATGGTTTCTGAACACTTGAGAGACTCTTATGTACATTTCCATAATTAATTCGTTAACCAGGGGCCACCGAGCTAT